AGCCAAGAGGCTGAAAGCCAGGCAGTAGCGCGGCGCCCTGACTAGACACTCCTCCCCCCTCCGCCCACCTCGGCGGTAAGCTGCTGTCCAAATTCTACGGGCTCTTCCGCCAAGTTCCCCTTGGCATCCACGACCAGCCTCCCTCAGCCCTGCGGTGCGGGCGTCTAACTCCCAGCTCTCGACCCTCTCGTGGCCAGCACGCTGGCTTTCTTCATTCCTGGATGGGCACCGCGCAGAAGGTGGAGGTAGCCTGGGAGGCTCTTCCCCTGGGAACCAAGCTCGAGAGCAGCGAAGACTGCGATCCCCAAAAGTAACACGCGGGGGCGCCAGGACGTGCGCGGACGAGGGCGAGGCAGTGCAAGGTGGTTTCCGTCCGTATGAGTGTGTCCACGGGCGTCTTTGTGTGTCTGCGTTTCTGTACATGTGTGTACGAGTGCGTAAGAGGGTGTCTGGGTGAGATGTGTTCGGGACAACGTGGCTGGTGTACCCCAGAATCAGGTACTCCAAGTGTCTTTTTGGTGAGGACGATGCTTGATATGTTGCTATGTACGTGTGGATGGGGAGGCAGGGAACTGTGTGTGTGTCCTCGTGTGCGCAAGGCGTAGCCTCTGAGTCCCTGATTTGAGTCTTGGATTTTTGAAGTCACATACCTTCAGGGTTTTTACTCCCTTCCACCATCCTGTGTAAGAAGAATGAAGGCTCTCAACGGGAATCTCCATTACCGTCACCTCTTCAGCATGGGTCTTCGTGACCCTGCTAGGCTAGGTGTAACATTGTGTTTGTGTAAGTGGGTGTGTCTCAGAATATCAATGTAACTCTGAATGACAGTGTGTTGTGTGTGTGTGACAGGTGGGTGTTGGAGGAGGCTGCTTCAGGATTATGGAAGTAAAAAATTTCCTTTTTCCTGTTAGTTCGTGGATATCACCTTCATGGCATGTTTTCCTTTCTCAGTCTCTCCAGTAGTTGTCTCTCTTTGTGTCTCTCCTCATCTCTGTTTCTTTCTCTGTCTCCCTTTCTTGGTGACTCATCTCTGCGGCTTTGCCCTCCCCGGGCTTCCTGGGTCTCCCCTCCCCCACTCAGGAGTGGGTGGGAATATGAGGCAATGGGACTTGGGGACTGAAAATTAGGGAGAGCAACCCCTTCCTATCACTTATAATTCCAAGATGTGTCAGTGGCCCCCAGCCCTCTCCCAGTCTCCTTCCCAGGACTCCCCATCCTACTGAGCTGGGGTGGCAGAGGATAGGGCAATAATGCATTCTAATGGGGCCATTTGGGGGGGGGGTGCCTCAGCAGCTTCTCTCCATTCAAAGTGGAGACCCCTGCCCCTCTAATAAAGTGCTCCCCCCCTGCCCTGCCTGTCCCCCCACCCTCTATGGCTGACGCAATGAAAGCCTGCAGAGGTGAGTCACCGGTTGGGGGAGAAAGAAGAGAAGGGGGGGGTGGACTGTGAGCTGTGAGGGGGAGGGGCTTGGGGTGAGGGAACAAGCCCCTGCTCTCTTTCTCTCCCAAACTTTCTCAGGGAATAGACCCAATGCTCTCCCCCCTCCCCTGGTTTTCCAAATCTTTAGTTTGGGTCACTACTCTGCTGGACCCCACCTTCTCCTGCTACCCTACTGGAGAGTGGGAGATTCAGAAACAAAGACAGAGAGAGATGGATTTATACAAACAATTCAGAGCAAACACCAGGCATCCTCTCCAGGTCCCCATCTCAGCTTTGCCTTTTCCAGCTCTGTCTCTTCATTTCTCTTTCTTCCCTGCCATCTTCCTCTCTCCCCGATCCCAGGA